AAAGTATATCTATGGTTATTTTCAATAAACAATTATAGTTACTTAATGAAGAGTGCAATTTCTTCTAGGTACAAAAAAAATGGAAGAGGACACTGACATTTTAAACACATATTTTATTTTTCTTGAAAACAGTGGGGCAAAAACATTAAGCCACTGCAGTGAACATTGTTGTTCCCCAAAAAACATAAATGACAAACATTGATGGCAAAAGAAATATTTAGTATTATTAAACTGCGATGCACCCCAAACCAAAAGCAAACCTTTAAAATACATGTCAGAGTAAACAGCAGCTGATAATAATTAGCATTCATTTCTTTTAAATATACTTTTCTCTGCATTATTCATCAACATAGTTGGCATTGCATATGTGTGGTATAAAAACATAAAAATCACAAAATTACAATTTGTAACGCAGTAATACATACTACTGTGTGAGTATGGATATATACAGGTAAGATACTATATTAGATCAATATACAGCAGACTGATAGGTGTAAGTACGGTATAAAAATAGCATGCGTCTCTAAATCACACTGAACAGTCTTCAACTTGCAGAAATGTATAAAAAAAGAGGAAAAATAGAGTAAGAGAGAGTAAAAGAAACAGGTTTGAAAAGACAGCACATTTTTTTAATTACATGTGTTATAATGCCTTACTCAAAATTTTAATTAGTTTCCCTTTTATATATTCCAGTAAAACTAACACTGTAAAACATTAAATGTGCTACAAGACTACAGTTATGGTAGATTTGGCCTCAGTGTTTATTCAAGCTGTTTTCTACTGTATCTCTGACTAGCTGAAGCAGTGTAGCTTCTACAGTTGAACACAACTGAAACGGAATATGAGTGACCTAATGTGTGTTAGATCAAGTAAGGCAAACAGAAGCATGGCAAACTAAAGGCCAAGAAAATTGAAAATCCTCTAATATGAGTAGTATTTCAGACACAAGCAGATAGTGATAAGAATTATTTGACATCTCCAGACTTAATTTTCATAAAATAAATCTTTAAAAAATGTTATTAGAATATGTGCGCAAAAGTATGAGTGCAATCGGAGCGAAGAGAGGGACACAAAGTTTGGTTCAATGCATTCTGAGCTGTGGTTAATGGATGTGAATCTGCTGTCAATTTATAGCACTTTTGTGGGCATGCTCACATACATACAGCTACTCACTCAGTTTTTCACCCCCGACACACACTAACAGTCAACATACAGCATTATTTGTGTGTTTTCACCACTACTCACACATGGTGGTAAACAAAAGTAGCATGCAGTAAAGAACAAAGGCACTGACACACAGACTGTGTGTGTGTTTTTCTTTTCCTTCCTTCTTTTTTTTTTTTTTAACATTTTTATCATTTCTCGCTCTTCTTGATGAGTCAGTATTTGGGTAGACTGTCTCTTGCATCCTCCAATTTGGCAAGAACCCACTGGGGAGAAATAAATTAACTAATATTAGTGCAATCGTTTACTTTGACTGCAGGTTTTTGGACACATACCTTTGGCCTGTATGACACAAGGAAACATGAGTTGAATAGCAGCTTCTTAGCGTCCAAATCGTCAACTTACCTTGGCTATCTCAGGGGTTTTGAAGTTTATGATCTTCCCAAACTCTTTGGCATGGAAGACAGACTTTACTCTCTCCTGCAGTGCACAAGACCGGGCATTTAGGGCCATAACATGCTAAATAATTGTTTAAAATATTAAGTTTTTAAGGGGGAAAAAGAATCTTCGAATTTGGATTTCAGTTGTAAGAGTTAGCGTTTGTACCTTGGCCTCAATCCGAAGTCGGCGGTTCTCTACAATCATCGGTTCCTTCGTGAACTCTTCGAACAGATACTGCCATTCACAGGTCAGCTGGCCAAATGTGCCTTTGGTCACAAAAAATATTCCCCTGGAAAACAAACCACATAAAAATGGTTAGAAAAAAGCGATTCATATCTATCGATCTTATCTTTGAGGACTCCCACAGGTAAAGGATACAGTACAATACACTGTTTGAGTGGCTAAATACAATACTCATATCAAACACAACTCCATCTTAAAAATCTGTTTTCAAAAGCTAAAAACACTCACCTCTTGGTAATCATGAGGAAGTCTGAGTCATTGACCTTGGCATGAGCGAAGTATCTGTACTTGGCAAAACGTCCATTCTCAATTTTCTGAAGAGGGAAAGAAAGAAAGTGAACATTTAAACAAACAGCAAGACTAAAACAACTCAGTGTAGTATGAATGCCCAGATGTCTATGTTCCATGATCATTTCTATACTTTTCAAATAACTGACATACTGTACACAAACATGAGCTAATGAGCGAATACATATTTACTCTAATGAAAGTGGAAAATGTTGTGGTTTGTGATGAAAGATGGGATGAAAGAAAGACAATGGATGGTAGAAGTTGAAAACATGAACATTTTATTGAGAACAGGAGGGCAGTGGATCGTGGCAGTGAATGACAGAATGATAAAACTTATTAATTAATAAAGAAAATAGACACAAAGAATGTATGATTATTAGGATTTTTTTGGGACAATGAATGAATGAATATTCTAAACAATGAGAAGAAAGTTTTCATGGTGGTTTGTGAGAAAACGATTAAAGAAAAAGAAAACACAGGAGTGATGGAGATAACAGAAAATGTAACAAAAAACTAAAGAAAACACATATAAGACATATAAACAACTAAAAATATAAAATACACCAAAAAAAAATCCTTAAATGAGTCAAAGTCCTCTCTTTGGTTTGATTAAATCCTCGCTGACAGACAGCAGGCAGAAAACCTCCAGCACAGACTAAAGACAAAACACAGACGCTACACTATAGCTTCACTTCTAACTTCTAGCTGTACTCTTCATCACCCTCATCCTCTGAGCCAGTTCTACGCCATTCACTGTAGGCCAATCTCCTCTGTGGACATGAGAGAAGAGTCAAGAGTCAGAGCTCAGAGAACCGCAAGCCTGTTTCTACCCAGAGAGCTACAGCACTGTGAGTGAGGTCAGTCATCGTCTGTGTGTTAGTCAAGTAAATAAATGTTCACGTTAATGTAATCTGACTACATCAGCCAATGATCATTCTTTTGAAGTTCCTCAAAGTTACTACAACTCCTTCAAATCTCTAAAAGCAGCTGCTGTAAAGGTGTTTAGGTTTTTCATGACGTTTCCAAATACTAAGCAAATATATACTGATCTGGCATCGCTCTGTTTAATCAAGTATACTGTTAATCACTGTGCTGTTAAGAGTTTCCCACCCAAAGTTTAAAGTCAATTAAATTCAGTCACAGTGTATTTGAACAGTAAAATAAAACACAAGCATGAAATGTGGCATCCACTGATTTAACTCCTAATAATCGGTCACTAACACATACACACAAACCTAGCCTAGGTCTACAGATGGTGAGACAGATGGGTGACAAATTAAAAGGAATGTCTGACTAGAATGAGAGGAGAAACATGATGAATGCAAATGTTTCTACTCAGAGGTCACTGAAGGTTTTGATGAGAATGAAAATGAATCATAGACTACGGCCTCCGCAGTCACCGGATCGTTTTGGATGGTGCTTTCCACCATCATCGTCACAACACAAAATGAGGGAATGGCTTTTGGATGAACGGTGATAATCCCTCCAGTGGAATTCATAAGATTTGTAGAGTCGGAGCACTGAAGCTGTGGCCCAACATCTCACTATGGAAATTTAATTTGTCGCCCATCAGTAAATTCTAGGGGATATCCTACACGACATCTTTACTATTAGTCAAAGAATGCAACTCTGACCTGAGACTCGTCAGCAGAAATTTCAACCCACTCCATCCAGCATGACAGCTAGATAATGCCATCACAAAGAAGGAGACCCACAGTTCATCTTAAATGAAGCACAACTGAAACACTTCAAAGCTGCACAAAAGTCTACAAATATGAGAAACCCTCTACTGACACACTGGCTCTGAACCACATTCAGACTAATCTGCAATGTGTTTAGCCCAATGGCTGCAAGGATTACTTTCACTAAAACCTAAAGAACACCTGCATCCAGATGTCAAAATCAATTTAACACATCACACTAAACCAATAATTGGTAATTAAGTAATAGTATGGAGCAAAAACAAAAAACAGTGAGGTGGCTCCACTGAACTGAACATCCAAATGAACACCAGTAAGTATCAGTAATCTTTGCTTTGGAAGTGAACGTGTTCTTCTTTTACTTTCTTACAACAGAAAACACAGCCAGAGGTGAATGAATCAAATTGAACTATATTGCTTTCGAAGGATGTATAAACAGGCAAAGACAATATAATTGCTAAGATAAATAAAAAGTTTAAAGATAAATAAAATAAAGGGATGGTTTAAAATGTATGTTTCCCTGTAAGAAAATGAATGTCTGTGTGCGTGTGCCTGCATGTATGCTTGCACACACGTGAAGACGGATGGGACGATAGATGAAATGATCGCATATTGTGATAAAACACTGGGATAATCGCGAATATCCTCACGAGCAACTTGAAAAAGTAGTGTAGATTGCTAGCGTAAACAATATTCAGTTGTATTAAACTAAATGGAGTTTTCCTCATTTTAGTTAAATAAAGAATATTTACCAACTGTCATTTGCCCAGGTCTGACTATGGAAAGTTTATGATGAAGAGATTTTTGTCGTACCTGGAGCATCTGACTGCCGAGGCCCTCCCTCTCCTTATATGGTCGTATGACACCATCCTCGTGGATGAAGCGAGGAGGGCGTAGAGATTCAACATCTTGTGAAGTCTCTGCTGCCCTAAAAAGGAGGCAAGACACACAAATGCATCCTGAAACACACCTTACTTGTTGCCTTGTTACTGCACGCAAACACAAACTACAAACACGGACCAAAATAGCTTCTGCCACGGCTGAATGACCAGCTGTAATAAAAAGCTCTTGTTTGTGCATTTACAGTTTATTATTCAGGAAAACACAGTATGACAAAAATACTTATCTTCTCACTAA